TTAATCATCTTTGCCTCCAAAGAGCACTCTGGCTTCACTTCCTCCAAGATGTATCTGTTTGTCCTTCTGGCCGTCCGTGGATGTTCCGTGTTCTCCTCCAACACCACAGCTCAAAGGCATCAGTTCTTCCATCTTCCTTACTCATTGCCCAGGTGGTGTTAACCTTTTTGGAGGCTCAAGTTCATCAAGAGGTGCCTCACGATAAAGGCCTGCAGCTTCTTGTTGTCATTGCTGTTAGGTGCTGTCTAAACCTAACATAGCAACTCTATGAACAACAGATGAGAGCCTTCTACTTCTCAAAAAATCAGCCGATTGAACCCCTGCAGAGCCTACGGGAGCCAGAGACAGCTCGGCTGGTGTTTGGTTTTTGTTGCTAGGAGGTGATGTGTCGTTGATTCTGACTTAGAAGGATGCTGGAAATGAGGATGGCAGAAGCGCTGCCTGTCCTGGGCTACCTCTCCTGGGCCATCCTCAGGGCTTTGCTGTGCCCAAGCCCATCGTCACAGCTCGTGTCGTCCCATCTAGGTGAAGATGTCCCTCTTGTTTGTTGCCCTCTGCTTTTCCAAGCTCTGCTAGTGACATGTTCAGAGTACCCCAGATGAAGTCTCACCGTCCTTGCTTCTAAGGAGCATTTGGGCTAGATATCTACCAAGGCAGATTCGTTTGTTCCTCCGGCAGGTCATAGTAAATGTAATATACTTTACTAAGAGCCATAATTCAAAGGCATCCCTTTGACATCAGTCTTCCTTATTTCATCGGCCAGTCTGACCATGTGTGGTCTTATTTAACCCTGTCACCCTCCCTCCAGTCACTTAACTGCTATAATCCCCTTTTCCTAAATAAAATGAATCCATTTGCTCAAGGTCATCTGCCAATGAGAGCCCTGAGCTGTTCCAGTCCTGAGGTCTGAGCGCCAGCCTCGCTCAGGTCAGATGGGGGTGGTTCCCTGGATTAGAGGACCAAGCGCTGACAGCTGGAATATTGTGTTCTTCAATCCTCAGAAAATTGACCCAGAGGTAGCTGCCTTCCTGCAGAAGCTTCGCTCTCGGGTGCAGATTGGCGTGGTGGGTGGTTCTGATTACTCCAAGATCGCGGAGCAGCTGGGCGAAGGGGATGAAGGTAGGATCAGGGTGGGGGGGGAGTCGGGTGTGTGTGTGTGTGTGCGTGTGTGTGAGTGAGAGAGAGCGTGCCTGCGTGAGCGTGCACGAGAGTTTTATAGGGAACTCGTGGCACCCTTCAAGAGTGGCACAGCTGACTCAAAGTCCTAGCCTCTCCAGTGGTTCAAATCCCTGGCTGATTCTCAGGAGAATGAAGGGCAGTCTCCCTGCCCTCTGTGTGATTTAGTCTTGGAGACCCAGTGGAGAGGTGATTAGCGGCGAGTCGCCTCAGACCTGACAGCAGTGTGGTTACCCGTTGAGCAGCGTTTGGCCCCAGTTTTTTAAATGGCACCCGCACCTGTCCAGCTCTGCCTGCAGGGAGGCGGCAGTGCAGTGTCTGTTCGTCATATGCTCTGTGCACTAAAATGTAAAGCAGAACCCAGCCTGACATCTTCCATTCCTGAAACCAGAGCTTCCCTTCAGTCCAGGAATCCTTCTCTCCACCTCCCTTGTTTATAACACCAGCAAGTCCAAAATTTTATCCCCATCCGTCCCGCCACTCCTGGCTGTGTCCCCTCTGGTCACTCCAGCGCTTCCAGCAGCAGCCTTATCTGAAAAGGCTGGATCCTGGCCTTGAGGACGCAGTGTGACCGCTGGCCCTGTGCAGGAGAGCGGGCAGCACAGTGGGACATGGTGCCCTCTGCTGGGAAGTCCGGGAAGGCTTCCCGAGGACAGAGCTGTAGCTTGGATAAGGGAGGTGGTTCCTGGCAAAGGACGCCGGTGAATGTCACGAGCAGACGCAGGAGGTGTGTCTGGCTTGTAGGAGAGAAGCCAGAGTTCTGCAGGCTGTGGAGGCAGCGTGGCTGACGTTGGGTCTGTGTCATCAAGTCGGAAGACTCAGCTGATCCTCCAGTGGGTTTTCAGTGCCTTTACACTGGGGGAGACTGCCCGTCTCCCTCCCACAGAACAGCTGGTGGATTTGAACCATGTGATGTGGCCAAATGCGATAATGGTCACCCACAGTGGACAGGGTTCAGTGGAGCTCCCCGATTAAACCAAGCTTGGAAGGAGGAGTAGCATCTACTTCCGAAATGGCTTGCCTCCAGAAACTCTGTGAACACGGAGAAACGACCAAAGTTATCCAAGTGTTCAGGTCTTTCGTTTATAGAGTCACTATGAGTCATCTACGACTCGACGGCACTTAACGACAGTAACAACAGCAACATAGAGCTCTGTTGACCTAGTGGACAGAAAGTTATGCTACCAAGCCCAAGGTGGGTGATTTTAATCTGCGGCCTTCAGGCCTGGTTTAAATTGTTTGGGTTTTTTTTGTCAAACATTCTTCTAAGTGGTATAGCACAGTGTTTCCTGTACAGAGGTAACGCATGGTTGCTGTGATGCTAAACATGTGACACTGATGTGGCCAAATGTGATAATGGTCACCCATGGAGGACAGTATTTAATCGAGCCTCCTGATTAAAAAAACAAGCTTGGAAGCAGGAGTGGCATCTGCTTCTGAAATAGCTTGCCCCTGGAGAAACGACCGAAGCTATACAAGTGTTCTGGTCATTGTTCACAGGGTCGCTATGAGTCGCCTACGACTCAACGGCACTTAACAACAACCTTTGGGTTCGCAGCACAACTCCTTTCTGCTAAGCATCAAGAGCTCGGGACGGACCAAATGGGCCTTGAATGCCCAGCCAGGGTATGAGCTTCACCTTCCCGCTGCACTGGACCCTGGGAGACTAGTTGGGTGGCACGCACTAAGCACTTGACAACTAACTCTAAAGCTGGTGGTTCGACCATGCAGAGGTGCTGCATTGGAAGAAAGGCCTGGCAATCTTTTTGAAGTTACAGCCCAGAAAGCCAGTTCTGCTCTGCACACACAGGGCCACCTTGAATGGGAATAGGCTCAGTGGTCATTGTTGTTATGTGCCGTCAAGTTGCTTGCGACTCATAGCGACCCTATGTACAACAGCTCTAAACTCTGCTCTGTCCTGTGCCAACCACACTGTCTCCGACACACTCATCCTGATTACCCCAGTCACTGAATCAATCCACCTCATAGAGGGCCTTCCCCTCCTGCGCCTGCCCTCCACCCTCCCAAGCATGATGTCTTTCTCCACGGACCAGTTTCTCCTTACAACATGATCAAAGTATGTCAGACGAGTCTCAGAATCCTTGCCTCCAAGGAGCAGCCCGCTTTAACCCTCTCCAGGATGGATCTGTTCATTTTCTTAGCAGTCCATGGCACCCTCAGCACTCTTCTCCAACACCAAAGCTCAAAAGCATCAATTCTCCTTCTGCCCTCCCTGGTCATTGTCCAGCTCTCTGACACATAACAAGTGATTGCAAAGACCGTGGATTTTTTTGGTTGGGAGTACCAATCAGAGCTGGTCTCCCTCTTTTCTCTTCCCCTGGCCCTGAAGTCATCGAGAAGTTTGACTATGTGTTTGCTGAGAACGGGACGGTGCAGTACAAACATGGACGGCTGCTCTCCAAGCAGGTCAGTGACCCCACCAAAGCTTCAGGGCCCCGACAGGGACACCCCGCCTTCCTCAGGGCACAGACATCCATGGGTGTGTTGGGGAGGGATGCCATGTCCTCCCACTGGTCTGGGCCAGGGGAGGGGCGTCCTGTGGTCCCAGGCCTCAGCCTGTGTTCCTTCCCAGACCCTCCAGAGCCACCTGGGGGAGGAGCTGCTGCAGGACTTGATCAACTTCTGCCTCAGCTACATGGCCCTGCTCAGGCTGCCCAAAAAGCGGTGAGTCCCGGCCAGCCTGCCTCCTCCAGCAGTGACCACCCCGCCCAGCCTGCCTCCTCCAGGACTGGCCCGGGGAGGAGGGGCGCAGGAGGGAGTCCTGTACTTGAAGCCCAGGGGGCCTGTAGTCCGAGGTGGGGCTGGACTGGACTCATTCTCTGTCCTCTCACCCCGGCCACTACCAGGGGCACCTTCATCGAGTTCCGGAGCGGCATGCTGAATGTCTCCCCCATCGGCCGGAGCTGCACCCTGGAAGAGAGACTCGAGTTCTCCAAGCTGGACAAGGTGCCACCCCCCTACAGCCCCAGGCCTCTCTGAGCCTCTTTAAGTTAGGGCCTCGCTGAGCTCGTTAACTTCCCAGCTGTGAAACGGATCAGTGGGCTGTGTGTTCTGATTTGAGCACCCTCTCACACACCACATCGCTCCTTTTCCCATCTTGTTTATTATTATCTGTCTTCCACCCACCGGCTCCAAACTCTCAGCTTCACAAGTGTTAGATAAAAAAGAGTTGAGAGAGAGAGAGAAAGAGGCTGGTCCCAAGAAACGAACAGGCCTTTATTTTGCGTGGTCTGAGAGGGGACGCCACGTGACCACAAACAGGCCGACAAGACAGTTTCTCTTAGGGAAGACTAGGGAAGATGGTAATTTGTTTGGAATTTGGGCCAAGAATCCTGTCAGTTAACTTGGGTGTGATCAGGCCCAGAGCCTTATCAGGATCTACTCGTGGGAGAGAGATGTGGCAGTCTGTGTCTGTAAAGGCTTATGACCTTGAAAGACCTTCAGGTAAGTCGGCTCTGCCGTACAGGGCGACCAGGAGTCAGAATTGACTCGAGGCCAGTGGCGGGGTTGAGTTGGACCTCCTGTGTCTAGCACAGTGCCCAGCATGCCTCTGTGCTCATGAAATATTTTTAGATGAAAAAGGTGGTATGATCCCATTCTATGAGTGGTAACTCTGAGGCTCAGAAATGCTTCCCTGAGGGTAGGTGAGACTTGCCTCTGAGCTCACTGGTCCCCACCCTGTGCCCTGAGGCACCTCTTGTTGAATAGCTCACTTCTTCCTCCTACCCTTAAGGTGACCCCTCCACCCCCGCAGTCCCAAGTTGACCCTTCATTGTACCTAACTGTGTAAGTCTTTTCTCCTCTACAAAATGGATAGAATATCATTATTATACTATTATCTAGAGCTGCTGTGAGGACAGGGTGAGGCCAAGGAACATCTGAGAAACCTGCACAGGGCAGGCCTGGCTCCCCAAGGCCTCACCTGGCTCCCCAAGGCTTCCCCTGGATCCCCAAGGCCTCACCTGGCTCCCCAAGGCTTCCCCTGGATCCCCAAGGCCTCACCTGGGTCCCCCACACCTTCACCTCCCCCCCTCCCCCAATGGCATCTCTGACTTCCTTAGTGCCTTTATCGCTCTTGGGTCTTGTTTTTCCCCTTCTGGTATTGGAACATTCTAGACTACCCTTATCCCTCTAGCAGCTCAGATGCAGCATCAATCAATGCTTGACTTCAGAACTCTGAAAGACAAAGCCAGAGGGCAGGTGACCTTGAGCAGGTCACATTGCTGGTCTCCTCGGGACACTCCAGTGACCAGCCTGCCCCTGGACAGGGCAAGTACAGTCTCCCAGGCAGCCTGGCAATGTGGGCACCCTTGACGCTCACCCTGGGTCCAAAGAGAAACCTCCAGTGGAGCTCTGGCCTCCCTGGGGTCACAGCCTTCTGCTGGAGGGCAAGGTCAAGGCTGGTGGGGCCGCACCTCCATCATGGGAGGGAAGCAGGCAGGGTCACTGCCTCGTCTTTCAGATCAGGAAATGTCCTTGAGGGTCAGGTGACTCACTACTAGCAGCCACACCTGGCGCCAGGCAGCCTGGCGTGTCACCTGCCACAGCTTCCGTCCAGCGCCAGTCCACCCCAAACAGTGGCCTGAGGGCTGGTCACTCCACTCCTGGGCCCTTTGCTGGCCAATCTGTGCTGAGTGAGCCTCCTACCCCGAGCGGCCCCCATTAGCATGCCAGCCGAGACCCCCAGGCAGAGCTGGCTCCCCGGGTAAGGCAGGGGCCCCTGGGTGCCTCCTCTCCTCCCGGCCCGGACCTGACCACTTCTCTCAGAGGCTCCAGAAGGACCAGGCTAGCTAGACGATGGGACCCCTTCCTCACTCCATCCGCAGATGTGCTGCCAGCGTTCCCGGCCCTGCTCAGAGCCAGGGCAGCAAGGGTGGGGGGTATCTGCTGGTGTCCCCAAGCCCTGGCTCTGACACACAGGACGTGCCCAGCGAGTGCAGGACGCCACGCGGTTGGCACCCACATGCCGCTCTCCACAGGTCTCTCCACGCTTTTACCTTCTCACTCTCTCCTGTGTCTGTGGATGCAACAGAGTGGTCTCAGGACAGGGCCACCTACTTGGGACCCTGCTGGTCCTGTCCCCTGGACCTTCCTCCTGTGCCTCTGCCAAGGACTCTGTCTACCCCCCTGTTGGCTCAGGCCCCACCCTATGGCTGTATGACCTGGAACGAGGCATGGCCCCTCTCTGAGCCTCAGTTTCCTCGCCTGGAAGACTTGATGCTCGTGGGCCTTGGACGTTCAGCACAGGGCCCCTGAGATTCAGTCCACTCCCTCTCCACCCACAGAAGGAGAAGATCCGGGAGAAGTTCGTGGAAGCGCTCAAGACAGAGTTTGCTGGCAAAGGGCTAAGGTTCTCTCGAGGTGTGTCCACCACAGAGGGTCTAAGAAACATGGGAGCCCGCCGTCCATGTATCAGGGCCCCCCGGGACCCCTCCTGCTTTCTGGCTTCCCACCCGATCCTTGTTCACCTTGCGGCTCAGGCCAGCACTTGTGGGAAGGGGGCCTGAGCGCTCCCTGTCCCCTCCCCAAGTCCAGGTCCAGGCGAGGACCATGTCTGGGTTCTGATGGCCTCTCGCCCTGCTCTTGCTTGAAGCCTCCTCCCAAGTCCCAGCTGTCACTGCAGCCAGTGTCCTCACTGCCACCTCCCTGATAGCCCTCTTCCCCGGGACAGAGGTCTTAGGAGAAGACAACCACGTTGTTATACCTTCTCTGAGCCCTCCAGAAACCCCTCAGCACTGGTCCATGTGGTCTCATCCCTGCTCGTCTCCCCACCTCCTTCATTCTGGAGCGCTATGTGGTCTCATCCCTGCCGGCCTCCCTTTTTCCCTTCTGGAGACTGTGTGCTTTCTGTATCTGAGCCTGGAACTCCGCTCCCAATGTCCCCAAGCTAGTTGGGGTCCCAGCTCAGCATCACCTCAGAGAGGTCCTTCTGGGACCCACTGGGTTCCCCCCTCCAGGGAATTGCCTGGCTTTTCCTTCCTTGCACTTGTAGGCTCTGGGGATGGGGGAGTGCCTTGTCCATTTGTCCCCAGTTCTCCCATGATTCCCTGAGGGTACACGTGCCCTGTGCCTGGCCTTGCCCGGATCCCCCTTGGGGCAGCCCCTCTGCCAGCATCACCAGCCCCCTCTCCACCCCCTCCAGGAGGCATGATCAGCTTTGACATCTTCCCCGAGGGCTGGGACAAACGTTGCTGCCTGGACAGCCTGGACCAGGACAGCTTTGACACCATCCACTTCTTCGGGAACGAGACCAGCCCCGTGAGTGGCCTAGCCCTGCCTCAAATCCCCCAGAGTCAAAGCCAAGGTGCAGGGGGACAGAACCATTCTCCCGGGAGGCTCACCAGCTCCATTATTGTATGGACCGGGAGGCTAGACGCTGCCCCATGTCACATGTGAGGACCCAGCCCTGGGAGCATCCTCAGCCCCTCAGCCTCTGCTTTCTTTTCCTCTGTGCACAGGGCGGGAATGACTTTGAGATCTACTCCGACCCCCGGACCGTGGGGCACAGCGTGGTCTCCCCACAGGACACAGTGCGGAGGTGCCGTGAGATCTTCTTCCCTGAGACCGCCCACGAGGCCTGAGGGGCCACATGTGTCCCTCGTGACTTCACAGCGGCTGGCCCTGCCTTGAGGGTGACAGGGCCAGGTGGCCTGTCTCCTGTGTACCTGCTGCAGGTGGTCAAGACAGACAGGGGTCTGTGAGGACAGCATCCCCAGCTAGACTCCCAGTGACAGCCTCCCTCCCGAGGTCCAGCCTGGCCCAGGACAGTGTCCCGCCCTCAGCCCCAGGGCCCCGGCCTCAGCGGCTGCTTGGCCTTCTAAACCGAGCAGGTTTCTGCCATGTGGAAGGAGGCAGAGCCCACCGTGATGCGTGGCGGAACGGTGGGTGATAGGGAACTTTATGTCACAAATATTAAAGTTCTTGGAACGAGGTCCAGTGTTAATTGTCTGAGCAGATAATGGGCCCAGGTCACAGATGCTGTGGGGTCCTCTATTTGCAGATGAGAAAACAGGATGAGAACTCAGTCAGACCACCCTGTAAAGCCAGAACCTCCACTCACGGTGTGGCCAGCCCCAGTCCCTTCCCCAGGGCCCAGACAGACAGGCAGCGAGGGCCAGGGGTCATAGTTGAGGGTTTATTGCCAGTGTCAAGGAGGACAAGGGAGTCAGGGGATAGGGTAGGGTTCTGACTGGACACTGTGAGTGGTAGGGAAGAAGAGCCGCTGCCCGTGTCACCCCAACAACCCCAGGGCTGATGTCACCTCAGAAAAAGAGGGTCCTACTCCTATGAGAGACCCTAGGTGACCCCAGGAGTTGAGCTGCACTGGTAAGACTCCAGCCAAGGAATCCAGGGGGACTTAGAGCTGCGTGTGGAAGCCCCAGCTCAGAGTAAGGTGTCAGGCTGGGCATTTCCAGGTTTTGGGGGGCTCCCAGTACATCTTAGAAGCTCAGAGCCTATGGCCTGTATGCTGGGGTGGAGTGCAGGTCCCAAAGCTGATCACCCTGAGGGCTCGGGCACCCTCCCAGACGGATGGTGAGTCGCTCATCCTGGAGCAGGTGAGACCCCGATTTTTTCCCACAGCTTCTAAGGGTCACTGTCCCTGGCAGGAACTGTCCCTTGAACCTGTGACCCCATGTTGTCCCTTCTTCAGGTGGAGTGGTACAGAGCAGTACAGGTAGTGTGCTCGGTTCTGAGGAAAAGGTGAAGGTTGAACTCACCAGAGGCAACTTGGAAGAAAGGCCTGGCGCCCCCCTTCTGAACCTCAAGCACAGTTCTACTCTGACACGTGGAGTCACCTTGGGGCAGAGGGGACTCAGCGGCAACTGGTTAGTAGAGGGTGTAGGCAGCCCCCTCCTTGCTGGCCTCCCTGGCCTGGCCCTCCTGGGGCCCGAGAGGGACCATCACACAGGCGGTACTGGTGTGGCCTGGAGTGCCCCTCCTGTGGCTGCAGCAGCGAGGCCCACTGTGGGGTCAGGGGCCAGTGGTCTCACGGTGCCCCCACCTGGTCCTGTTTCAGGGTCCCTGGGGACCCAGTACAGTTTGTGAACCAGGACAAGGGTGACTCCAGCCAAGCTGGGTGAGGGCAGGTCCCCAGGCCTCGGCAGGTCTAATCTCTGCGCCACCAAGCCAAGGGAACACCCCTTAATCTAGGGCTCATAGAGCTGCTACCAGACCAGAGAGGAGGTACCAGCAAATCAGGAACCTCAAACCCCCTTCTCCTGCCCTGCCTCTACACTGGGGGTGGGGAGGTGGGAAGACAGCTCCGCTGGGGATCCCCAAAGTGCTCTCTGGCCTGCCTTCTGGGGGGAAAAGTCCAGGCCGAAGGGACACTCCAGCCCAGAGCGGGTGTCTGAACAGCACAGCCAAGTCTGCCCCGTGGGCTGGGGTCTGGGCAGAGTAGGGGGAGATTGTGCAGGCAGGGGTCCAATTGATCCCCCAGCCCCAGTCTGGCCTGGGGCTCTCAGGCTCAGTGATAGCTGGACAGGGGGAGGGTCCTGTGTACGTGTAAGGGCTGAGGGAGGGACGGCAGACAAGCAGAGGCGGGCCTGGTACCCTCTCCCCAGTCCAGCGCCTGGCCAGGTCACAACAGTCACGGGTCACAGAGGCAGGTGGAGGCACACGCTCACAGCCACAAGCACAGACAGACAGACAGACGTGCACACGGAGGCTGCCCCAGGCAGTGGGGACACAGGACTGGCTGTTACCCGTCCACCCTGTGTGGCCCCCACCGCCCGGCCAGCTGGCACCTGAACCAGGAGCCTAGGAACCCACGACCTGGCCGGACCACGTCTCGTGAGGGGTGTGGGGCGCCAGCTGGGTGAGGACCACCTCCACGGCCTGGAACTTCTGGTTCTTGGGCGGGATGGGGCACATCTTGTAGGTCACCTCATCACCTTCCACTGGCACGTACTCACCCTCGATGCTGGTGGGAGGGAGAAAGTGTCAGCAGTAGCCGCCGCCTCCAGCCCTCAGACGCCCCTGGGGCCTGGCCTCAGCTGCCCAGTCTGTGAAATGGTGTCAAACAGCACTGGCTGGGATTGATGAAGTGCGATGCGTGTACGGAGGAGGCTGTGAGCTCAGTGGCCTGCACCAAGTGAGCCCTGGACGAGGAGGCCCCCCAGGTTGGCCTGCCTTAGGTCCCTTGCAGGCCAAAAGGCTCAGGGCTGACCAGGACACACTAGGCCCTACAGAGCAGGTCCCAGCCCATGCTTTCCAGGCTTCTGGGCTCTGAGTCCCCCTTTCACCTGGCCTAGCCATCTCCCTGCATCCCAGCTCCCTCTCACTGTGTACCTTGGGTCCCTTCCTGTGGTGCACCCCAAAGTCCCTCCATTTGTGTACCCCAAAGCTCCTCTTGTGGTGTACCCCAGAACCCCTCCTATGTGTACCCCAGAGCCCATCCTGTGTGTACCCCAAAGCTCCTCCCGTGGTGTACCCCAGAACCCCTCCTGTGTGTACCCCAGAGCCCCTCCTGTGGTGTACCCCAGAGCCCCTCCTGTGTGTACCCCAGAGCCCCTCCTGTGTGTGTACCCCAGAACCCCTCCTGTG